CTGACTAATTGCCCGGACTCGGGCTCCGGGCTTGGGTCGCCCGCATTAAAATTCAATCAGGCCCAGCACTGAGCTATTAAATATTCATTGGGAGAGCTTCCCGAAACCAGGTTGGGGGATGGGGATGGATTGGGTTGGAGGGACTACCTGAATCCCCGGCTTCAGCGGAGCCCCGCCCCACCTTGACTCCTCCCCAACACTCTCATCTCATGCAACTGCTGCCTGATTTCCATTCTGCTGGGCCTGATTTCTCTCTGGAAGTCCCTGAGCCCTCTCTACAGACACTTGGGAGATTGAGCTGCCCTGCAGGCGTGTGGTGCTAAATTATGCCCAGGGCTGCCCTAGTCCTCTGCCCTGCACGCCCTCCGTGCCTGGTGGCCTGGCTCCACAGACCTCTCACCCAGTGCCCACGTGGGCCCCTAATCAATGCTGGAATGGAAGAGCTCCAAGGCAGAGATGGTTTCATCCTCAAGAGAGGCCCCTAGGTGCCTGGCCTGGTCTTTGCCAGGGGCTTTGGCGGCATTACACTGGTCATCTTCAGCAGGCTTGAGAGAGCTTCAGGCTGGGCAGTATGGGGTCTGTGCTGGAAGGGAGGAGGGGGGCTCTGTGCGGCCCTCCTCTCCTCTCCCCTTCCCCCAGGAATGCAGTCTGTCCAAGCTCCTGGGCCCCTGGCCTGATGCTGAGCAGGCTGCCTGGAAGTTCTCAAGGAGGGTACCCAGGGGGAGGGGGCTGGGCCCAAGGGCCTGGAGGGGGCCACTGGCAGTGTCTGGGACTTAAGCAGGAAGTATACACCCTGCCCCCCATTCATACACACTATAGTTGCAGGGTCATATGAAGAGGGTTTGGCAGGTGTGAAGTCAGCCATGGCCCGGAGGCTGGAGTGAGCCACTCAGATAAGGACTGGGCCCTCCGTATTGTATTGAGACATCTTGTAACACAGCTCCATCCCCGGGCCACGGGCTGTTTGAAGGAGGGGAAGACGAAACACCAGGAAATATGTTAGGAGAGACCTGTTCCCCTCCCATTTTTACAGCAGATCTTCAGGAGCGAACCACCTGCTCATGGGGCTCTTCCCCTGCCCTTTGGACTGCTCCCTGCTGCTGGTGCCTGAGGTCCTGCAGGAAATTAACCCTGCAGGGTATGGAGGCGGCTCAGACTGTCAGAGCCACAGAGCACCCTACAGACACTGCTGTGGAAGGTTAGAGGCTGAGGGTGCCAGTTTCTGCAAAGCCAGAAGCAGCTCAGGGCTCTAGGAGCAGTGTGAAGTTCGGGGGTCCTAACTACGGAGATACCGGAAGGGACTTCTTGTTCTGCTATTCTGAGAGCCTCAAGTGTTGCAGAATTCTTGTCTGAAAACCCCTGCTCCCTCAGAGCTTAGGTGCTCTCCTAGCAAGAGATGGGGGACCCAGGCTGGCCCCAGAGCTGGGTACAGGGCAGAACGTGTCTGGCAGCAATTAGGAGGGGAGCTGGGCTGGGAGGCCTCAGACTTCAGCGGGTCAGGACTGACCTGAGCCAAGTGTCCAATTCCAAAGCCAAACGTCACAGGCAATCCGGGATTCCAGCTCCCTCCACGTGTGGTTCCCATTAGGGCTGGCTGGGGTCTTCCTGAAGGCCAGGCGGATTCCTGAGCCCCTCCCCCAACACGGCCCCTCCCTCTTCAGGCTGTTTGGAATGTCCTACCCAGTGCTTCAGGGTGGCCTGCCACGGTGCAACCTTGGGGATTTTCAGGGGCATCCCACTCCAAATAGGTGTCCCCACCCACTAGCTGATGTTTTTGCAATCTCTTAAAGGGGACAAAGGGATAGGAGACGTAAACCCTTAACCCCCCCAGGAAGGGCTAATCCTTGAAGACCCCTAAACTGTGTCTGGGGGCCTTCCCTCCTCTCCAGGTCAGCCGCCTTTGTTCAGACCTCAGCCCCTTTGGTCCAGACACTTGCAACTAACTGTCCCACTTACCAGGCTATTCCTCCATACTGCCCCCGAGTGGGCATCCAAAACACCCAAGCCTGTGACTCAGATCATTTCCCTCCTGACAAAGCTACTCTGCAGCAGTTGCGCACAGATAGATTATATTCGTGTTATGTGTATCTTCGACACACACACCGTTTTAGAGTTAAAAAAAAAAGTCAACATTTAAAAACCGGGAGGCAGCACATAAAAATCGACATTTCTAATTTTTCCTGCAAATACCTGACGACATGAAGCTAACAAGCCAGCATGACAATAACTGGCTGGAGCTGAGGAACAACCGTGGCCTTCCGAAGGGGTCCCTGGGGCTTCCATGTGCACCATAGTCCCCACTGGATGATTCAATGGCCTTTTATCAGTGGGCTGGCACTGACCTTTTTATCTCACTTCCTGTCAGCTTCGCTCCTTCTAGCCATTTATGTTCCTGTCTGTCTCTCTCAGTGCAGACACTTCAACTTGCTACAACAAACCCAAGTCTAAATCCCTTGGCCTAGGGTATATGTCATTTCAGCCACCCTTCACACCCGGTCCCTCCTGTCCCCGTCAACTCCTCCCATCCAGTACTCTTGGTCCAAGCCCGTCGAACTTCTCACTCTTCCCCAGACGCAGGCCGGACTTTCACACCCCCAAGTCTTTGCGCATGCTCTTCCTTCGGCCTGGAACACCGCATCTCTTCTGTCCCTGGTGAACTTCTGTTGCTCCTTCAAGCCCCACCCCAGAAGCCACTGACTCTGTAGCATCATCCCGAGCCCTCCCAAAGGCAGTACCCTGGGTTGTCTGATGGTTCCTGTGATTCCAAAATGTCTCATGCTGCTCTCATGTAGTGAGAGCCTTTCCAGGGCTGGGAGTAGGCCACTTGGCATCGCCGGGGCTCACCTGGGTGGACGAATGGGCCATCAGGTGGGTGGTGGGAATGTCTGGGGGTGGAGGAGTTGCATCTCAGCCCCTCTGGAGCTGGCCTTTGTGGCTAAGAGCTTTGTTAGAGTTGGCAAGGTTGGAGGAGGGGAATGCAGCAGGCATTTTGCCAAGACATAGCTGAGGTCTTGCGGCCCTGGCAGGAAGGAGGCCTCACCTCATTCACGATCACCTGTGCTTCTGCTCTTGGGGGACTGTTTAGACCCCTGCGTGTGTGTGAAGATGTGTAAGTGTTCAGGTAAGTGGGTCCGGGCACCCAGGCAGTGGGGTACTACTCTCCTCTGCCCTGTGAGCACCCCCAGTGTCCCCAGTGCTATCAGTGCTGGATAAAGAGGTCAAACAGACAACATCTTCACCTCCTGAAGCTGATGTTGCAGAAACCCCCGGAGATGGGCTTGAAACCAGCGGGGCTGCTCCCTCCATCTGTTCCCTGGTCTCCTGTCCCAGGCCCACCCCCCTTCCTGCCTCTTCAGGGTTCCCAGCTGCCACAACCCCTTCCACAGAGCCCACTCCCCCTGCCCCAGGAGCTCTGCCAGGCCAGGCACAGCCGCCCCCCACCCCCCCACCCCCGATCTCCCCAGGACTAGCAACTGGCCCTCTGTGGAATCACCTGAGAGGTAGGTACTGGGGATCCTGTTTTTATGGACAAGGAAATAAACTCTGAGGCTCAAAGGAACGTACTCGAGGGGCGCCTGGGTGGCTCAGTCGTTAAACGTCTGCCTTCGGCTCAGGTCATGATCTCGGGGTCCTGGGATCGAGCCCCGCATCGGGCTCCCCGCTCAGCGGGAGGCCTGCTTCTCCCTCTCCCACTCCCCCTGCTTGTGTTCCCTCTCTCGCTGTGTCTCTCTCTGT